ATGTTATAAAAAATTAAAAAAAAAAAGATAAAAATGCAAATAAATTCTTATTAATATATAAAATCATAATGAACAATAAAATAAATAATTATTTCAATAAAAATTTCATTTTCATTCTTAAATTAAATAAATTCTCTAAATAACCTAGAAATTAGAAAATTCATTAAAATTATTAAATATTAAATATTTTTTTATAAAATAATAAAATTATATTAAAAAAAAAATAACCTACATTGAGCCAGTCAAAATTAAATCTAAAATAAAATTTTCCTTATATAAATTCTTAAGAGACTAAGTGAAGCAAATGATGTAAAACATTAAAAATAAATAAATTCAAAAATTAACAAAAATGAAATAAATTTAAAATAAAAAAAAATCAAACATAAAATTAAAATTAAAATAAACATAATTAAATCTTAAATAAATCTTCTTAAAATTCACCCAACACATAATAAATAAAATCCTTAATTATTAAAATCATAAAAATTGACATGCTTTTATTTCATATACTCAAATGAATTAACTGCATTTTATTTTGTGTTAGGACTTATTAGTGAATATTGTCCATTTTATAATAGACTATATTCTCTAATTTGTTGTAAAGATTATAAAACTGCAATTAAACAATAAATTCTAAAACTTTAATTAAATATTAACACACTAATAGTTGAACTTTTTACATGCTTTTATTTCATATACTCAAATGAATTAACTGCATTTTATTTTGTGTTAGGACTTATTAGTGAATATTGTCTATTTTATAATAGACTATATTCTCTAATTTGTTGTAAAGATTATAAAACTGCAATTAAACAATAAATTCTAAAACTTTAATTAAATATTAACACACTAATAGTTGAACTTAAACAACCCTCGAATATTAAACAAAATAAAATTAGGAAACAAAAAATTAGAGCCTAATAAGTTGAGCATTTGCATTGCTAGCATGCACTTTAGTTTTGTTTGTTAAGAAAACCAACTTTAGGTCTAGCTTAGGCTATATATGCTAATTACACATACTTGAGTGATGTTAGTGGATGTGTGCTATATGATGTGATTGATTGATTCTTGTGATTATAATGTAACTGATTTAGTGATAAGCAGATAGATATTCAATGTTAGGACCATCTGTGTTATTTAGTATTGATCCAATTTTCTATAGATAGTCATGCTTATACAGAGCTATTCAATAAATTGATGGGGATAATATAATTAAAATTAAATAGCAAGTTTTCTATAGGTGCTTTAAATTGCTTAGCCCCCCTTAAATAATAAAAATATGGATAGTCATGCAAGTCCCTAAAAAATGAGCAATTGCTTGGTAGCACTTTGTGATGGGATTATGTGATGTTATGTATGTATATACACCTTGCATGTGTATGTTAATGAGTCAATTTTGTAACTTCGTAAATGTAAAAGAGTTGTGAAAGTCTAAAATGAAAAAGTATAAAATGAAATTGTTTATTGTAAAGTAAAGAAGTCCAAAAGAATGCATCTTCTTTTTAAAGTTCAAGCCATTTATAATTTTTTAAAATAATGATTGTAGTCTGAAAAAATTGAAGAAGATATATATATATGTATATATATATATATATATATAGAGAGAGAGAGAGAGAGAGAAATTCAAGTTTGTGTTGATGGAGCATGATTGCCATTACTTTCCATATAGACCCATTGTTGTGATGATTTGTTATATATGATAGCGAATGAGAACTTGTTTGTGTTTTCAAGTTTTTTTGGCGTTGCATGTTATTTAGCCTGAATACAAATTAGACTCTCAAGATTAATGTGACTTTATCATTTAAAACACCCACATTTACTTTTTTGCGAGCATAACATGCATATTCACTTTTTCTACTATGTACACTAAAGTCACACACGCCAATGATAAACTAGGGGCAGCCTAAGTGATGAGGTCAAGCCTACTATTCTTGTTGGTGCATGGTGGTTATGCCGCTATATTTTCTTAGAAAACTTGTCATGTAGATTTACGTTATTACATATAAAAAATTTTAGAAGTTAGTAAAAATATTTTGAATTACATTAGTTAGGTGCATTCAAACCTCTAGCATATTCAATAAACCCTAATTTGCATTTATGAATCATAAACTCGTTGCTCCTAAGCAAATAACAACTCACCTATCATGCATATCATCTAGACTTAAACTCGATTATGGTTTTAAAGCGTTGAAGTGGTTTAGAAAAGTGTAAATTTTACATAATAATCTTCAATCCTACATAATTTTCCATGTTGTTCATATTACAACATCAAGCCTTTATCTCACTACATTGTTCATATTATATAAATTATATTATTCATGACTAAATAGTCCCAAACAAAATTTTGTTTTTAGTTGATATTAACTTAAAATAAGAAGACAAATGAGAGATGATGTTCAACAATAATGCACAAGCTCTTATTATTAGCGCATTTTGTCCAGCTTTCTTTTGTATTTATTAATACAGTGTAGGTAGAGGAACTATCACACACCCTATCAACATAATTAACTAATCATCAAAGTCAAATTATCTGCGCCATTATGAACAATCGTATAATATTTATGCTTAGTTTGAGACAACTTTCTTACTGCTTCTTAAAGCAGCTTTTTAGTTCAAAATAAAAATGTTGCTTTAAGAAACAGTAAAAAAATGGTCCCAAACGAAGCATCTATTAGTTCTTCTCTTCTAAACTAAGCACATCAAAGGTTTAGACTGGTTTCCTTTCCCCATCTGAACAAATACCCAACTTTACAAAAGAAACAAAAGGGAAAGCATGCATGCTTATTCCATATTCAATTCCTTCTATCATGAATTCCCTTGGGAGAATCATCTTATAGAGAACTTCTCCCTTTCTTTTTTATAAGACATCCATTTATTCTTCTTCCAGAAGCATCCAGTCAATAGATTCTTTCATCTGGCTCCAACTAACAACTAGTTCCAGCATTACCCACTTGGATCCTATTCAATTTGCCTAACATCAAAGACCTCCCATAGGAAAAACATTGAAACTGAAGAACATAATTTTTATAAAATTATACTTAGACTATGTATGTTATATGAATTCAAATGTTCGGTTCGTGATTAAGAACCATCGACGGCCAAATCATTATATTTTAAAGAAGTTATGATTCGAACATCAAACAATAGTAGAAAATGCGCTAATGAAATAAACAGATGAAATTAACACTGAAGAATATAAGAGAATAAGTTTAACATCTCACATAGGCTTCATTTGAGACAGTTTTTCATTGCTTTCTAAAACAGCTTTTTAGTACAAAAAATTCTAAATCAAGAAATTTTTTTTAACTAAAACACTGCTTTAGAAAGCATTAAGAAAGATGTCCCAAACGAACCCATAATGTTCAATAAGAACAATTGAAAAGATAATGATTATGATGAAAGACCCAACATATGCTACCTTTCAATAACTAATGCTATTGATTATATAACTAAGAATTCTCAAGGAATCAACATTTAAACACCAAAAACGTCCTTTCAAGGACAAAAGAAAACAAAGTTTTTCACGTGAAGTGGACCCTAAAGCTCCCTAGCTAGAGCTTACAGAAACTTGGACATCGAAGGACAGCCCTTGGCTCAGAAAATTCTCTCAAGGAGAATAGAATATCTGCTTTTCCTATGGGGGACCAGATGAACAAAATGAAAGTTTTCAAAGTGGATATATTCGATATAGATGACAAGTTGAAGGTGTTAAATAATGAGCTTATCGTGCAGAATTCGAATGGAAGTTTTGGTCTTGGAATTGACCAAAAAAGTTGTAGCAAAAGAGTTCATAGATACCCAAAGCAACATGGACGATATCTCTTTTTGAAATGCTAAGAAGATCAGATCGACTCAGGTTCTTTCTTCCACAGATTCCAGATTCCCAGAAAACTGCCTTATAAGGAGTGCCTGTGTTGCAAACTCACCACCAGGATGAGGTTGAAGCAGCTCCTAATTAGCTTTCCTGTCGAGAAGATACTCTGGTACTAGCTTTCTACTAGCTTTCAGGGAAGCTATTATTGAAGCAAATCAGATTTTCAGAAGATCAGACTTTGCGGTACAGGTTTTGTGAGGTAGAAAGCAAAGCAACAACGGATCTATGCCCGATAATCTTTACACCTTTTGATTAATTATAAGTTTTCTTTTTCTTTTTGGAAGCAGGAAATGTATCATCTTAACCATGGAGGAAACAGCCTCATTTCATACAGGACATCATTTCCTGCAGAAAGAAATTTGTTTCTTGCAGCAGAAACTTGTCCAGGAGACTCAGGTTTGGTTCTCTCAACTGACGCAAAGCCTAGACTAAAATGGACTCCTGAGCTCCATGAGCGCTTTGTGGAAGCAGTGAATCAACTTGGTGGACCTGAGAGTGAGTATATGAAAAAGAAAGGCAGAGAATGATTCAGACAGTGAAGCAAAAAATATGATTTTTTTGACTGATCCATGATTTTCCATTTTGTAGAGGCTACACCAAAAACAGTCATGAGGCTTATGGACATCCCAGGACTCACTTTATATCACCTTAAAAGCCATCTTCAGGTAACTAATACTCATTAGATTCGCTGTTGTGTTTGAACAAAAATAGTAATTACTCCTTCGAAATTCAGAAATACAGGCTCAGCAAGAATCTCCATGTTCAAGCTAATGGCGCCGGCTGGGCCATGAGAAATGGTAATTAAGTTTTGTAAAAATATGCTAAAGAGTCAAGCCTATGAAGAGATATAAGGGCATCTCCAACCGAACTCCAAACACATGAATGGCGTCGCTCGAGAGCTCCAGCCGAACGGCAAAACTTTTGGTATTTGGTTGTGGGTGAACAGTGCGATGCCAATATTGGTGTGGCACTGTTCACCTGCGTTATTTTCTTGTCTCTTCCGTATTTGTCAAAGAAATGCGTGAAAGATGAGAAAGGCGGTTATCTTCTGAGAAGGGAGCAAAATGGAGTTCGGTTGGAGATGAATCACACCATTTTTTAATTTGACTGTATTTTGGAGTGAAAAATGAGATTTTCTTCTGGAGACGCCTAATAGATTTTAACATGGAATACCTTCAGTGATAGGTCCTATCGCTGCACCAGACAGAACAACCGAAGGTAGTGTGTCCACAGTAAACAAAATGAATGCTGGCTCCCATGGCAGCAAGTAAGAACTAAACAGAAGCTTATAAACAATGGTTTTTGTTGAAATCAAGAGATTTTCTTTTAACAATGTGGTTTTGATTGTCAGACCGGTGAAGATAAGTGAGGCACTTCAGATGCAAATAGAGGTGCAAAGACGATTGAATGAGCAAATTGAGGTAAAAATCAATTTTCAAAACTAGTTATCAAGGTTTCAATTTGGCTCGGATCTCGGATGTTATATTTATTTCACAAAATATGTATTTATTTATATAAATTCCAAAGTTCATCTCAGAACAAAATCAAGGAACAAAAGGCATACATTCATCCAAAGTAATTGGAAGAAGGGTCCACCCCAGCTGCTAATAAAAATTTTAAGCAACGTATTATGGATCCACCCTATGCTATCACCACAACAGTTCAAAGCACAGAAAATATAACAAAAATAACTATAATCTTCTGCCATTTAAAAAAAAAATACAGCCGTTGAATTTCAACCGTTACATGCTTGATTTTGAAATTTCAAATATCAATCATTACATGAAAAGACGTATTAATATTTTAAAGTTTAATTTTATTTTCTTAAAGGGTTTCACACTGTATTCCTTAGAACAATTAGAGAAGAACTAAACTTGAATGTCAAAATATCATATCTTCAACTGAGAGGGCTCTCATGGTGGAAACGATGAGTAAACTTTTCAACCATAATCCATCTTATTTACATAACATAATAGTTATAAACTTGTTATAGTTGCAGACTAACGGCATATGAAGTATGATTGGTAAATGAAAAGCACACAAACAAGTTATCTTGCAATGGAAGCTTTATATCATCATTAACATCATCATCCATCATCATCATCATCATCATCATAAGATGAATAACTAAGATGTCATTTAGGATCAATTTTACAATTTGCTTTTTCCAATCATGATACTTAATATACAAAAGTGACTGAAAGTCATTTATTTAGAACATCAAGAAGTTGATTCTCAAGTTATACATGGGTCATATGAAAGGTAACATTTAGGATGTGCTTTCAAGAAGTATGATGTTTCATACATGTCAGAAAAATAGGACACTCATGGAGATGTAATGTCAAAATTGATCACTGGATCTTGAGTAAGGGGGGAGCTAGGTTTGGTGAGTATGGAGCAGAACATTGAATCTTAGCGGCTATGGTGGAAAGTAGATCAACGGTGTACTGACATTAGGATTAGAGAAATTTTTGTTGGTGAGGAACAATTTCATTGCATGAAAATAGCTTAGTGAAATATATTTCATTTCCATTTTTTTCACAAAAAACCACTCCAAATAGAGTCCAAGCTTTCCAGTAATATGAAATAAGTCTGTTTTAAGGATTCACAATAATTCTGATAGGAATATAATTCCTTAAACTTTGTTGTTATTTTCTCAGAATCTGAGTATGATAACTGTTTCAAACCTAAAGGCATTCTCTATCAATATCAACATAGGTGCAACGACATTTGCAAATGCGAATAGAAGCCCAGGGAAAGTACTTACAATCAGTGCTAGAAAAAGCTGAAATAACTCTTGGGAAGCAGAACTTGGGCACTGTGGGCATTGAAGCTACCAAAATACAGGTCTCTGAGCTTGTCTCAAAGGCTTCAAAGGAATGTACAAATGCATTTACAGGCTTAGAGGAAATTCCTGATCTGCATAGCTTCCATGGAAATGCAGCCCAGTTTGCTGACTGCTCCGTTGATAGCTGCTTGACCACATGTGAAGGATCCAATATGATTCTGAGAGCTTACCATGGCAACTTATCACCAAGCACAGCAAAAATGGAGAAGAATTCAAGACTTGAACAGATCCAATCCACCTGGTGTGGAGAGTTTTTGAATGGTCACAGAATTTTTTCCCAAACTATGGTGAAAGACTCAGGCCATGGTGGTTTGCCAGTGGAAAGAGACTCCATTCAAAAAGAGACTGCAAAAGGAAGCAACATGACCAAAGCTTGCCATGGGGAAAGGGAGGATCAGGAAGCTTATCTTGAACAACCAGGTAATAGAAGATCTTCGTTCAAACAAAGAAACCCAAAGATGTTCAATAATTATGGACTAACTTGTGCTAGGAGACAACTGGATCTAAATGTTCAAGATGCCAACAACCTTACTGCTCCAGATTACAAAGAGTTTGATCTCAACTGTTTCAGCTGGAGCTAGCACTTTGACAGAACTAGTATTCTAAGCTAACAGCATTTTATTATCTCCTACGCAGAGGTAACTAAATGCTCCCTCCAGTTTACTGTTTAAACATATAGGAAATAAAGAAGGATCAGTTTTAGTATCTCACGTTTGCAGGCCAATAATTGAGCTCAGTGGTAACTTATGAGCATGGAAATGGTGATTCAAAGCCATTTTCGTTGGTAGAACTGAGCAAATTTGTATAAATGAGTTTACAAAGAATTTATGAGGAAATACAGTTATTCAGCCTGTTAGTATTGTGGTTGCAAATTTTGGACTAGAATGAAGTCACTAAGGCTTCGTTTGAGATGTCTTTCTTATTGCTTCTTGAAATAACTTTAAAATACAAAAGTTGAAATTTTTGTACTTGAAAGCTCGTTTAAGAAGCAGTAAAAAGCCGTCCCAAACGAAGCCTAAACGTAACAAGGACCTTTAATTCTTAGACAAGTTGTTTGCTAACCAGTGAATTGAAAGAAAGGAATCTGTAAGAGCTGATTTAGGTTTTGTTTGGGACAGCTTTCTTACTGCTTCTTAAAGCAGCTTTCTAGTAAAAAAAATTTAATTTTTGTGCTAAAAAACTACTTTAAGAAGCAATAAGAATGCCGTCCCAAACAAAGCCTTACTGATAATCATCAGAACTGGTATATAAACACTCAAATTTCAGCACAGATGACTTTGCACATCTGACTCACACAAAATCAAGAAGAAACATGTAATAGATCATGAAGAAGTTGTTAAGTTGAATAAAAAACTCATGCACGCAGACAACGCACACCCAAACGCGAATAGAATTCCTTCCTCCATGGAAACATGATGTGCATCTGTAACAAAGAAAAACATTGCAGTAACAGAGTAACTTATATTGCATTATTGAGCCTGATATAGACTTTCTTTGCTTAGTGCAGCAGGCTTGGAATCTTTGGGGTTGTTTGGTAGCGCCAAGGATTTAATTTAAGCAGGATTTCGTAAATCCGCTAAATCCGGATTTCGGATATCCTGAGGGGCCTAAATCATGAAAATTGTTTGGTAACATTTATGATAAATACTATTAAATCTCATATGACTTTTTGGCTATAGAACAGATTTAATGAGTGGACTCTTCCTCTCTAACCAACGAATTTCATAAATCAAACAAAAAACAGGATTTCAGAAATCCAGGATTAAGTACGAAAAGGCGGAATTTTCCATCTACGGCGGCTTTCATTTGCCATGAGATTTGGTTTTGCATTTTAGGCTGTTTGGCTGAAATTTGCTCAAATGTGACCTAAATCCTACTACCAAACAGCCCCTTAACCTAAAGATACACTTAAGCAATCAAAGATGTAAGAATGTACTTACTCAATGAGGCATAAAATTCCTTATAATGTTAGGTTTAGTGTGAGCAAGTAAACTTCTACATCAGTTCTATCTTTTCTTCATGGGCTTCCATCGATACTTAAATTATTTTTCATGATAAATGCAGAAAAGCAACTCCATTTTTCGTGATAACGGTACTCATTGCGACACCATAGCAATCAATCTCACATTAATTACTAGAACAATCAACCTTCAATTCATATAGTGAAGAAGTTCAATAACACGAGGGCCCTTGTCTTGAGCTCCTAAATTGGGTCTCATTATACATGATAATTTCAAGGCTAAACCCATTCATTAAACACTTCTCGCCCTGAATAACGAGGAAAGTGACCACCTCCTATCAAGATGTCAAGAGCTTCACTTGAAGATCAAATAAAATATAAAAGAAAAATAGAATTGAATACTTTTTTTTTTTTGTATCTATTAGTATGTTCATGTCATGATATAAGTTTATGTTTATAATATTACTGTATCATGAATAGAACTACAATCATTCATAGATTTAATTGCCATACCTTTTTAAGTGAAATAAATGAGTTCAGTGTTAATTCTGAGTCAGTATAAATAATTAGAAAAGTTCTAATCATTCTTGCACGGAATTCTCTGATAGATTTTATGTAATTTCAAGCTAGATTTAAATGCCATAATTTTTTAAGTGAAATAAATGAGTTCAGTGAGTCAGTATAAATAATTAAAAAAGTTCTAATCATCATCTAAGTGGCTGTAGTTTAGTGGTAAGAATTTCACGTTGTGGCCGTGAAGACCTGGGCTCGAATCCCAGCAGCCACAGTATGTACCTTTTAGTCTTAATTACATTTTTCGCCATTCTCTGCAAATTTATTTTTACTTCTTTAAAAAATTTTAATAAATATTTTATTGTAGAAAATAAATTTCTAACTTAACAAGTTTTTAAAATAATGAAAAAAAAATAGTCAATTGGAACTGTAGTTGAAATATAAAAAATCAAGCAATAAGATAAACAAAGCCTAAGAGAAGCAAATTTTCAAAACAAAAGAATTATTGTATACTAATTTGAGAATTTCATAACACAATTGTTGAATCCTTAAGAAAAATAATAATAATTTGGAATGCCAAAAGGCATTGATCATTTCTCATCCAAAAAAAAAAGTAGGTTGTGTTAAAATATCATCCACGTCATCATGTTGACGTGGCTTACCGCAACGACATTCTCTCATTTTCTTGCTTCTAACTACCTATAAATACCTACATGTATTATACTTTATCAATATACATAATATGTTGCATTTCTACATCTCTCTTCCTTTTCTCTGTATGAGCTAGTCGATGGTCTTTCATGGTATCAGACCCCCCCTGCTCTCTTAGCTTGTCTTGCTCAAAGGAATCAAGAATATCAGAAATCTTCTCTACCCCTCTTTGATCTTCTCCCGATTCAGCAAAATCAAATCAGTGGTTTGAAAAATCTTCATTACAGAAGAAGTGATCCCTGGAAATCAGATCTCAAAGAGGACTCTCGGCCTCTCTTCTTCTATGTCACTGGATTTGTCGTCTTTCCACTAAAACTCGCCTCTGGCTATGCCAAATCAAGAATCAGTTTCTTCCCTCCCTCCTGCCTCCATCTCTCTGTCTCCCTCAATGAATTCACCATCCCAACTTCCTTAAAATTTTTTATTTTGAATCTCAAAAATATTATTCTCACACAACTCACAAATAACAATTATGCCATATGGTGGCTTCAACTCCTCCAACATTTCTCCGCTAATAAATTTCATTGACATCTTACCGAGGCTACAATCTGTCCAACCAACATCTCCAACTCGGACTACAACCTCTGGCAATTAATTGATCGCAACTTGATCTCTGCTCTGTTCGCCACCATCTCACCTTTCGTTTTTCCGTATGTCATTTACTCCTCTACGGTTCAAGAAATTTGGTACACCCTTGAACGACATCTTCAACCGACATACAACTCCTTTAAAACTGCAATTCACAAGTCCCTAAATCCCATAGATCTTGACACTCTCTACTCTTTATTATGTAGTCAGGAAATCAACATTCAAAATGAACAAAACAAAGATTTCAATTAATCATCCACTACAACAATTCTTTAATCATGCTGCTAAACTTAAAGGATAGGTCCTAAACAAGAAAGGATGAGGTCGATTGGTCTATTTTGAGAGTAGGAGGAATGCATTTACATTGGCAACTATGATATCATGAAGAAGTGTTCTAGAGGCTAAATTGAGTATACACAATTCACTTTGGTCTGTTGGGTTACCAACTAAGATGTCTTGGGTTCGAATCTTGTCTATATGATATGTGTGTGAGTCTGCCTTAATTAATCTAAATGTCCCAACAAATGGAAACAACATAACTAATTCTTTGATTAAATCAACACAACAAAGCGAAACTTTTTTATAGTATATTGAGAAACAAATATAATATGTCGTACGGATTTATTTTTGGTGGATAGTGGTGATATCAAAGACAGCTTACATTTTACGACAGATATTATATTGTGTAGGTGATAATCATTTTCTATTTTGCCCAATAATGCATAATATAGTTGATACGTCATCATGAAATAATCTTGATCGGGCACGAATCTCAAGGCAAAAATCAAATTGGGAACTTCAAAAATTAAATCCGGGAGCACCTGAACTCTGATTTCAATGAGCTTACAGTCAAATTGAGCGTCTCAGAAATACAAACTCAACGACACCAAATTCGACTCAATACGAGCCCAAATCAAGGACCCGAAGCGCTGTTGGAAGCTTCATATCACAATTTGAGTTACCAAACGGTCTTCGATTTTAACGATCTTATACTCGAATCGAGCAGCTCGACGAGACGAATCCAAAGAGCCTAAGATCACTGAATTCCGACATCACTAAGGCCTCCAAATGCCTGACGAACGGTCCATGATCAAGGGGTTCAATACCGGCCGTCCATCCAACCACTCAGGTGCTAGTTCGCCTCTCTTTCCCTCAGTATAATAAAGTCCACTATTTTGCCAAATTAGTGGCTTATTTAGCTGAGCGACCAAGTCTTCAACGTACTTCTTGTTCTCAACAAAGACGACAAGCTCAGGCAGAAACACTCATACACCCAGCACGGAGCAGGTCCGCCTTATCTCTGTACTTCTTCCATTTTTGTTTATGTAAACATGCAAGAAATCATGGTGGATTGATTACAAGAAGATTCGCGCAACAGCTTCATTTAACAATGAAGAAGAGAGCTGGCTGTATAAATATATATTATATTTGAAGAATCTATGAGTTGCAGAAATGTAGCGGAGGAGCAGCTCGCTGCAGTTGTGGTTCGAAGTTTTTTAATTCAGATTTCTGATTTTTATTTCGAAGGTCAAATATAAAACAGCTCACTCGCATGTGGATCCATGAAATAGTTGTTGAAAAATGTAAATTTACGTGGATCGATTAACAAATCCATTAACTTGGCTTGGTTAGTACTGTTAGTTTTAGTAGCTGCAACGACAGGTGAATGCGGTTGAACATATGAAGCAATCGGCCAGGGTAAGACCTGAACATAAAACAAGTACAGCAGTAACAAGAACAGAATAAACAAGTCTTGAAAATGGAAGCACCATTTCTCCAATTCAATCATTTCAACACGAATCAGATTGTTATCAATGCAATGGTTCGAACAGTTGCAATTTTTTTTAGATTATAGTATTTGCACTTTATTTTAAATTTTCTTTTGAAAAATGTTCAACAAGAGATATATCATAATATTTTTTAGGAAACATTTAAATTAACAAACAAAACTTTAGATTGATTTGGACTATGAATTAGTTGTTCTCAATATCGTCAAATTGCACTATATATATATCTTAACTATATTTCCAAAAATAAAATTTAGCTGAACTTGAAATTGACTTTGAAATTTTAGTC